ATATCCTAAAGAAAGTCTCTGGTATTCTACCATATACTTTATACCATCTCCCTTTAGACACATTATTTTCATAATATTACCTATATTTATGTATACTATAGTTTCTTTTGGCTCACCATACTCTTCCTACAAATAAACCCAACAATTAATAAGAAAACAAAACCAAAAAAAGTAGTTCTAACCCTGCTGTGGGCCAATAAGTTGCTCTGCTTAGCATAATTCACAAGTTCTAGCCCAAGTTCTAGGAATTTTTCAGAAAGCATTGGAAGAATTATACCAACAAGAAATTTCAGATGAAATACAGAGACTTTGTTCCAGGACAGAATCCAGTCAAACTATTTTATCTTGCTGTAAATGAAATGACCTGAAGGACCTACAGCTTATTTCATTATTATTCTTTAAAAGAGAGAGAGAATCTAAATAGAAAGTTACCAGTGTTGTCTGCTTTAAAAAGAAAGTTAACCTTTCAAATATTATTATTAATTTGGAAGCATGGGTAGCAGCTATATATTTAGTAGGTAATGCCATCGATTCACACCATCGTAAACTGCTCTGCACAATAATTTGTAAATGCTGACTGAGTGAGCTAAGGTTCAGACCCGTAATGAAAGTCTGCCTTCTGCAATATCAATTCACACACCAGAGAGGTCAATACAGAACCTCCAATTTAACAGAAACAAAAAGTTTCAAATAGAAGCAATGAACAAACAAGTTTCTTTGGTTGTCTATATTATTGCACCTCGTAGCATGCTAACTCAAGACTGTTGCACAGCAGGATAAGCTAAGCTTCTGGTTGAATACTTGCTCAACAAATTAATGATAAGTCACAGACCCAAAATCCTCTTTACTTGAAAGCCTGGGGTTTTCTTTGTACTGCAAGGTTTGAGCACTGCCACCTAGTGGCAAGAACACAAAAATCACATTCACCCAAAAAGGACTCTCCCTAGTCAGCAAATATATTATTGGTTGACCAAGACCCTGGGTAAGAACACCAGGGGAGATACAGACATTATTAATATACAGGTTCTACTACATAAATGGGCTGTGTAATTAAGTATCAAATAAAAGGAAAACAATTTGGGTTATAGGGAGACAGAGATAATGTGCTATGGGAGGTCAGAGATATAAAAGGTTGCTTTTAACTGAAGAGATGAAGAAGGTGCAGGAAAGAGGGATGAAAGAGAGGATGTTTGATCTGGGGTGTAAAGAATAGCTAGGATTCACACAACTCTGTTAAGTGAACTGTCCAGAGAAGGCACATTTATAGAGACAGAGAGCTGATCCATGGTTGCCTGGGGCTAGGAATAAGAGCAAATAGGTTCAAGAAAACATTTTGGAGTGATGGTAACCTTCTAAAGCAAGATGAGTGATAGTTGCACAACTTTACAAATACTAAATATCCTTGCAAACAATAGGTAAATTTTATGTAAGCTATACCTCAAAGAGCTATAAAATGAGATTAAGTGATCACCTACATAGAAAAGCAAATGTAATCAAGATACAAACTATTAGAATTAATAAAAGAGTCCAGGAGGGTTGTTGGATGTAAGATAAAATTATAAAAATAAACAATGTTCCTTCACACCAAAAATAACCAAGTAGAAAATGTGATAAAAATTTTGATATCTTTCATGATAGCTACAAAACTTTATAGTATTTAGCATTTAACAAAGGATACATAAGATTTTTCCAGAGAAAATGTTTAGACTCTATTTAAAAGGCATAAAATAGTAATGGGGAAGTAAGTAAAGCATAAGAAATACAGTCAATAATATTGTGATAACTATGTATGGTGCCAGTTGGGGCCCTGGAAATAAGGAGGGAAACACTATGGAAAGTATATGATTGTCTAACCACCAAGCTGTACACCTAAAACCAATACAAAATATAATTGAAAGGAAAAAATAAAAGGCATAAAAGGAAATCAGAATAAATGAAGAGTCTTACTATGTTGATGCATAGGGTGATATGTAAAGATAACAATTCTTCTTAAAATTAATATAATGCCAATACAATCTCAATCAAAATCGCAGCTGGATTTTTTTTAGAACAGAACTCAACAAATCCATTGTAAAATTTGCATAGCAGAATAAAGTCTGTAAAGAAGGATGTGTGTGTGTGTGTGTGTGGTTTATATTGCAGGAACAAACATCAATAGACTAAACAGCTCAAAAATAAGCCTTTGTTAATGACATCAGCAAGATGGTGAGATAGGAAGTCCTAGCCCTCACGCCTTCACTGATTCAACAATGGTATGTGAAGCAAACTACCCTTATGAGAAGTCTTCAGTCCAATAAAAATTGCAGCACTCCAAGGAAGCACAATACCGAAAACAGCCACGTTGAAACGTGGCCATGGTGGAAAAACTCATAGGATCGACATGTTGCATCTGCCTAAACTATTTCCACAATCCCTGACTGACATTCGGCAAATAGGAGTTCTACTTCACCTGCCTCCAGCATTTGCAGAGGGAAAATCAGGACAGCCTTTTCACCTGTCCCCAGTGTCTTCACATCTCTTGGATCCAAAGAATCCAGACCAACGTGCCCCTGGGGAAACTGGTGGCTGAGATAAAAGCGATGATAGCTGTAATGAGCATGTACTGCTGGATGCTGAGATTCTATGTGACTATGACTCTGCATCCAGCCACAGCCAATGACTTTCTCACAGTCTCTCTTTTTAAAAAAAATTTTTTATTTATTGATTTGAGAGAGAGGGATAGAGAGGAAGAGAGGGGGAGGGGGGGAGAGAGAGAGATCAATTTGTTGTTCCACTTATTTATGCATTCATTGGTTGATTCTTGAATGTGCCCTGGCCAGGGATCAAACCTGCAGAACCTCAGCATATTGGGACAATGCTCTAACCAACTGAGCTGCCCAGCCAGGGCCTCACATTCCCTTAATAACCTCTAGAGCATCGGATATAGGTAAGTTCACACAAGATCGCCACAGGATGCCAAACATTCACCTCCGCTGCTCATGCCCTGGGCTCCTCCTGCTGCTTTACCTCTGGCTGCCGCTATTGGGAGGTGGATGTTGGAGAAACACTGGAATGGGCTGCGGGTGTTTGCAAGGAATGTGCAGATCATGAAGGACCTTTCCTGTAATCTTCCGATCTGGGTTTCTGGGTGGTGAACTTCAAGGGGGGACATGAAGTCACTGCTAGCACAGAAACCAGGACTGTTCCCCATGTGAACCCAGACTGGCAGAGATGGTGTTTTTCCTGGATGGTGACCTGACAGCCATTTCATTTTTCAATACAACTGATGGCTTCCATTTACACATCTTTACAAGTATATCTACTTCGGAGCCTCTGTATCCACCCTTTCGTCCTGGGATCCCAAAAGAGGGTGAGAATGTGCAACCCATGAAGATCTGGGCCAAGGAAACTGCAGATATTGTCATTTGGTCGCAGTCCTTTCCAGGAGACATGCGATTTCTGTGCAAAAAGGAGACCACTGGGGATGAAATGGATGGATCATACATTCCTGAGCTCTTCCCACATTACCAGGAGTTTCTATGGCTGAGAAAAATCATCCAGTTTCTTTTACTGTAAAAGAAGCCTTAGGATAAACATTACAAAAAGAAATCATTTATTTTAAAACTTAACTTAATTCTAAGTGCTCGGCTTTGCTCTGAATGAAGTTTAATTAGCCAAAGAGGCCCACCGCTTAAGGACAGATTGTTTCTTCCTCCAGCAGGTTTCCTAGGGGCCACCTCCACAAATTGCTGCTTCAAGATGCAACCAAGAATTTACTTCTCTAGAGTTCTGTAGAGCCTGGGTGGAATATTCACAGGCTCGACCCCTGAGGATTTGGGAGGAAAGGTGTCGTCTGCATGGGCCACATGGGGAGGAGAATTACAGGGCCAGGGACATTCAGAGGAACACACAGGGTCCAAGGATTAAACCACGAGATGAAGGGAAAGTACAAGAAGGGTGACTTGTGGGCTCCCACCTGGGACTGNTCCAAGGATTAAACCACGAGATGAAGGGAAAGTACAAGAAGGGTGACTTGTGGGCTCCCACTGGGACTGACCTTTCATAGACTGAAACTTGATTCAAAGAGAACAATTAAGCAAATTTTCAGTCTAAAAATAAAATAAAATGATAAACCTATGTTTAAGAACTTAAGATATAATTTTTAAATGTACCTACAACACTATGGAGAAATAAAGAATTGTTGGATAGATGGTATTTGGAACACTGGCTGTCCACATGGGGAAAGAAATAAAGTTGAAACATAATATTTTGTCATATAAAGTTAGACTTCAGAAGAATAGGCACCTAAAGTGAAGGTAAAACTCTAAAGCAGATGTAAGAGGTAACTTTGTGACCTAGGGCTGGGGAAAGACTTCTTCAACAAGACTCCTTAAAATACAAACAATAGGTGTAAAATTGATGTAACTGCATCCACGTTGTATGCCGTAAACTTACATAGTGATGTATATCCATTATTTCCCAATAAAACGGGAAATAAAACTATTTCATGCTGTTCTTCCTAGTCACATTCCATTTAAACATATTGGTGTTACTTATAACCAAAANTCCCAATAAAACGGGAAATAAAACTATTTCATGCTGTTCTTCCTAGTCACGTTCCATTTAAACATATTGGTGTTACTTATAACCAAAAAGACATTCTTATAACAAGTGAAAAATACTTAACTTCATTTATGTAGAATCATGGTCATTAAATTTTTATTTTGCATTGTAAGATGGGAGAGAAGTCAAAGAGTACAATTTTATTCTTTTATAAATTATGCAATAACATACTTTAAAAAGAATAAATAGAAATAGAATAATTAAAAGACTTGAATAAAAGTAGATGAAATAATCAGTTCAAATTATAGCTATCATGACTCACAATGGATTATGTGTAAAGTTTGGTAATATTAGAAATGTTGGCACTTGGTAATCATTATAGAGCTTGAAAACACTAGCAGCAGCATGTAATATTGTTGCCCTATGCTGTCTGGAGGAGTGCTCTGATATATGTGTTTTCACTGGGCTTTAGCCTTAGTTAACACATCCACATCAGCTTTGTCTGCTTCTCCAAGGCTTTTTTGATGGCCTTCAACCAGCACATTGTCTTCCTTTTTTCGGGGCGTCTGGGAAACAGTATCCTTGTGAGTTACAGAAGCTCCAAGAGGAACAAAACTGTGCACAGCCTGCAGCTTCTTCCGCAGCCATTCTATCCTTTCCATCGATTTCACGTGTTTACTCAGGTTATGCAAAAGCTGTATTTCACTCACAGACCTCTTCCTGTAGGGAGCAGGAACAGAGAGGCCACTCCATTAGCTCCCCTCTTCCAACCATAGAGCCAACCCTAAACATCCCATTCCCATGCCCTCACCATGCAGAACAGGCTGCAGTACTTACTTAATGGGTTTTGCATCTGATTTTGCAAAAAAATAAATTGCAAACATGATGATCATTACTTTAACCATGTATTTTGCAGACATCATCTTCACTAAAAAGAAAAAGCAAAATGCAGGTATTTTTAAAATATTCTTAATACTCTAAACTATACCATTAAATTTATAACTATACAACTGTGCAGTGTTACAGTAACTAATTGGATTGGTTTCATGGGATACTTTTGGAATCAGCCTCTTTATTTTACAGATACATTGGTATGTATTATATATACACATAATTTGACTTAGAATTTAGACAGATTAGTTTTACTTTCTAGGTAAATTAGTTTTACTTTTTAGGTATCTTTTTGAGAGTTCTTGTGCAAGTTTTAATACATGAATTTTAAGCCACATGAGGAATGAAAATACTTGCTTTTTAGAATTTCCTCATACATTTTATGTTGCTTATGACTAAGTGCTTATAATTTGCTTGAAAATGGCTAATTCTCTTAATTAGGTAAATTATTAACACTTTATTTACTTAGCAAATTTCTTTTTCATAAGTCAACTTCATTTCAGGCACTGCAATAATAACCATAAATACCAAATGAATAGGCTCTGATTTAGAGATTTTTGTACTAGATTAATTCACACTTCTACCATTTAAAAAATGTGTCAAAGTATTTAAAAATCATCTACTTAATTACCTGTTATATGGATTTAGAGCTTTGGCTTCATATAAAATGTTTTTCTATCTTTTCTCTACAGCTTTTTTTTTTTAAACAGTCTTGTTTGAGTATAAATTTTAGCACTTACCTCTCTTGCTCATAAAACTCTTCATTTCAAAATAGAGTAGTCTTACCTTAACCTGCACTTCAATAATTGCAAAATCTATTATTATTGAAGTGCTTTTTCTTAATGTTTAATGTTGTCTGTTTTAACATACACTTAGAGTGGCTATGCACTCATCTTTTAAAGGGAAATGGCATCGTTTACTTATTCATTTATGTATTTATTTTGAAATGGCATCATTTAGAAGTAGCATAAGAAACATTATAATCTAGTACATTTATTTTCACTGTGCAATATAAAGCTTCACTATGCAATATAAAGCTATAGATGGAGCAACAAATGCATATACTTCAACTTTGGTTTATGTTATTTTTAAAAAGGCACTGTGGTTAGAGGACAGGAGCATTGGTGTCTAATCTTAGCTTTGTCACATTCACCTAGTGACTTCAGACATCTCTGCTTTGCTTCCAATTCCTAATAGAAAAAAACTGAAAAACAGGTGTAAAATACCCTTAAAATCCATGTACAGTTTTCAGAATAGAAAATTAGAAAAGGCTTTATGTAAAGGGAATAAATATTCAGCAAACTGTCTCTCCAGCTCTAGTATACAGCTTGAGCTCTGGTGAGTCATAAAACAAACAATTTGATAAGAATATTCTGCAGGAAAATGGAATATTAACTCAACTTCATAAATTTATATTGGTTATTTAAATCAGAATTATTCATTCCTCATTAGTCTGTTTTATTTCAAAATTTCAGTAAGATACCATGAAAGCATATCATGCCAAATTATAATTTTTGTGTGTAATTTCAGATAAATTTAGAAAAAGCAAGGCCCCTCAAAAGACTCTAATCACAAAAATAAATGATTTGAGAGTATTTTAGTGGCATAAATTTATTTTGTGTTGTGGCATTTTATATTAAACATAACTCAAGCCCTCCTTTAACATTTTAACTTGAACAGTGTGATATTTGTAGAAAATGATACACATTAATAATACCTAGATTATAAAAAATATCTTATATGAGACTTAAAAGAAAAAATAAAGATTACTCACCACACAATGTCTTAAGACAGGATCTTAAGATATGTTAGCAGCTGGTGCTCTCTTAAAGTTGAGCAAACTTGAGAAAGCTGATGAATTGGGCTGTAGACCCTTAAATGTGACTCTTATATATAGGTCTTCCACTCACCAAGAGCAGCTTTTTTATTGTTACAGATGACATCACTCCCAATTCCCTGGATCGAAACTATAGGACCAGAGCAACAGACACCCCCATTGGGCGGTGCCCATTCCTCTTAACTTTTAGATAATTGGATATTACAAGGAAAACAGTGTGGAGCTGGGGAAAAGATTTACGCAGAGATTTCTAACAAATATTAAATTGTAATTTTGAATTCTGACTGGATTAATGAATTTTTATTATAAAAAAGACTGATTTCAATTACTTATGGTAAAGTCATAATTTTACTTGAAAGTAAAATCTGAAAATAAGTATATTTTTATAACCATGTTGTTGGTACAATTATTATGAGGATTATAATGAATCATATTATGTTATCCTTACTTTAAAAGCCATTTTCAGCTAATCCACATCAGTCCTGCTCATCACTGAAAAAAAAGATACAGTGCTTTTCTTAAAGGAGGTGTTAAAAATATTTTGAGAAAATGCTCTTAGATTTTAAAGGCTTCAAAAGTGAAATTACTTAAAACATTATTTAACTTACACTTTATTCATGCATTTTACTTTGCAATAAAAAACATTTGATAAGTACTAACTATATGTAGACTTTACATATATCATTCCACTAAGTCTTCACAGCAATCCTTTAAATAAATACTATTATTAGACCCATTTTCCATGAGGACACTGAGGTTTGGAAAGTAAAGAAAATAGAACTCAACAAAGGTTTTTATGACTCCAGAGTCATTTTTATTCTTACTACCTCAGTTTCCCCCTAGACACACAGCCCTTCTTTGAACGCTAGTCTTCCTGGCTTTAATTTGCCTAGCCCTTTGCAACCTCTTTGCAAAGATTCTTGTGTTTCCCAGCTGATGATTGGGGGCTTGCTCCAAAATCTAATGGAGGTATAATGGTACCATGTTGTGCTCGCGGGACGCGAAGAAAACTCGAGACACGGAGAATGTAGAATTTAGGTGGAGATGCAGAGGGTTGAGGCTCTGGAGGAGCTGCAACAACCCTCCTCACCATCCAGCGAATTTTATTGTGAGTTACACAAAGGCAGGTCCTCACCATCCAGCGAATTTTATTGTGAGTTACACAAAGGCAGGTGTAAGAGATCAGTAGGAACTATAAAATGCGTGTGAACAAAAGGTTTTGTGCTATGCTAATGCTTCACATTTGTTCTGAAGGCCATAACCCTCTGGGGGCAAGCTTCCCAGATCGATAAGGACCTGTTTTCGGTTGCTGTCAGAAATGTCTCCCTCGTTTTCAAGGGGATTTCTGCGATTCCGGGGAAGCTTGCTACCCAGCTCCTTCAGAGTTTGCTTGTTGTTTGCTGGCCTTTTCCTACATTTCCCCCTTTTTGTTTTTGCTGAATTTGATGAAGCAGGACAGAGAAGGCAGCTGCTTTCTGCTGTGCTTTGGTGATGAAGTTTGCGATCCGCGAGCTCCTCTCCAGACTCTGTAGAGGAGACAACAAGCAACACAACAGCGAATGGAAATTCCAGCCACACCTCCTCCCACTGCTTTAAGACTATTAAGAGGATTTAACTTTTGTAAGCCTTCCTGCATCCCTTGTGTTATTTAATACAAGTCCCAGAAACTAGCTGTAGTTGATTTTGAAAAGTAGTAGAAATATGTTTTTGTAATTCCCCAATTTCTTCAGTCATGTTATGTGAGTGGTATATTAATGTTTTTGTACTATAGACCAAGGAAGGTGTGTTTGATTCCAAGGAACAGGAGTGACACAAAAGGTAGACGTGTTCCAATCACATTTAAAGTGCATCTGACGTTGTAAACTAACTATTTGCTCTCCTAACATAACTACAGCTTGTTCTAAATCTCCTAGTCTAGCATTAATTCCTGAGTCAGCCTGCCTCTGAGACGTCCGTAACTGCTCAGAGTTAGGGTGCCACTGTTGTATACAATGTGCAGTTTGCCCGCTTTGGTGCAAGGCTACTCCAGCCATAGCCGCCGTGGCAGTGACAGCTAGAAGCCCCATGATAAGGGTAATGATCATGCCAATCATTCTTTTGCCTCTTTTCATATATTCTACCAATTGTTGAAACAACATCATGGTTGGAGAATCTTGCCAAGGACGGGACCGTTGAACTGGTATCCATATCCCAGAAGGCGCTTTCAGCAGATAAATGTCCTGTAAAGAACTATTAAAAGGGGTGGAGAAATTCACACAAGTATAAAAAGAACAATTATGACAAGTCAGAGTATAATTAGTAGAATTCCATAGTACCTGCCCAATCATTATAAGATATGGCAATCAGACACAAGCCTGTGTCCAACGCGTCAAGTTCCTTGTAAATTGTAACAGTTTGATTCGTCGTAATGTTTTGCCATGTTCCCATTCCAAGCATACATAGGGTTTAATGCCTTCATTAGTTTCCATAGGTGGGACTGAAAGGGCCCACCGATTAGATGAGGAGCACTTGCAGACATGCCTCCCTCATGCCATTGGATGGCGCCATTAGCATGTGTAGATATATTACCCTGACCATCAGAACGCCACTGTAAGTCTGAACCTTGACCCTTTGCTCGGGCAGANGATGGCTCCATTAGCATGTGTAGATATATTACCCTGACCATCAGAACGCCACTGTAAGTCTGAACCTTGACCCTTCGCTCAGGCAGAACCATGAGGGCTCCAATCAATGACACTCCCATAGGAAGTATTAATAAGAACCCGAGCCACTTCACCTCCACATTGTTCCCAACGTACCCAATCGCTCAAAGATGCTGCCGTAGTAGTAACATGCATGGTGGCCATTCAGCAGAGGGCAGCTGCTGCTGCTGATGTTGCCACTAAAGGTTTTTCCCTGGAGTAAAAATAATTTCCTCGATTTTTCACCTTTCCAAGTAGAATTTCGGACTATAGACACCCAGGCAGCAGTCTGTACCTTTAAGCAATGCTCAGGAACGCCTATGCATATGGGTAGACCCTCTACTCCTACTTCATAAAAGGGAACAATCATCCCCTCTGCATGAGGAGCTATTGGGCCTTGAGTACCAAAAGGTCCTGGCACCCACGATGTTTCATTAGTATAAATAGGAACAGTAGAATCCCACCACCTACTCCCCCGTTTAGGGGTGGATTAGGGACGTATGCCCAATAAGTGGGGTTTTCTGCTTGGATAGGCGTTACCTGTGTGGAAATAACAGCAAGCACGGCAAGGAAAAGGGTAGCTGCATTCACTGGCTGTCCAGCCTCTTGCAACACTTGTTCAGCTTTCTGATTCATCTTCTTCAGTTGGCCCCAAGGAGGAACCGTAGCCCTTTGTGTTTGAGGCAAAGGGACAGTGATGGTTTGTGCATGAAGATCTAACTTCTGTATGCTTCGAGTTAAGTTGTTAAATTCACTCCCCCTTCGCTTGCTCATGTCTAATCTTGATTTCCCTTACGGGCGTCCAATACTTCTGTTGACCTGTGGAAACACAAGCATAACCACGGCCCCACCGCAAAACTTCAGCGGGGATCCAGGTATTTGTTAAAACATCTCTTATAAATACAGGTTGATGTACTTCCGGAGAACTCTCGCGAGTCCGATGTTTTTCAGCTGCGGTAGCACCCTGCGTGTCTTTATTCAAAAAATTAATAGTAAAGAGAGCTCTTGCAATTCTCTGTCTAGGTGACTGAGTCCCTATTCCCCCTTTTTGTTTTCGCAGCATCTCCTTGAGGGTTCTATTAGCTCGTTCAATAATTGCTTGCCCCTGTGGATTATAAGGAATGCCTGCAACATGTTGTATATGATATTTAGAAAAGAAGTGTTGCGTTTTGCCTGCCAGGTATGCAGGTCCATTGTCTGTCTTAATGGCTTTAGGAAGACCCATCACTGCAAAAGCCTCAAGATGTGTTATAACAGCATCAGCTCTTTCATTAGGCAAGGGGGTCACCCAAGTTAATCCAGAATAAGTGTCTATAGTATGATGTATATATTGCAACTTTCCAAACTCAGACAAATGTGTTACGTCCATTTGCCACAAATCATTACTAGCAACACCTTGAGGATTAACTCCTTCTAGCATTCGCGGCCCTTGGATTTGTGTACAGATAGGGCAATGATGCAGAATATGACGAGCCTGCTCCCAGGAAATATGATAATCATCTTTCAAGGCCCTTGCATTCTGGTGGTGTAAGGCATGAGCCTTTGTGGCCTTTAAAACTGATCCAATCAATTTCTGATCTATTTCATGATTACCTGCTGCCATGGGTCCAAGAAGTTGTGTGTGTGCCCTTATATGGGTGATATAGAGTGGGCATTTACGCGCACGAATTAACTGCTGTAGTTGCAAAAATAATAAATTAACTGGCGAGGAATCCTCAATAACAGTGACTGTTTCTATATGTTTAACTGTGAGTTCAGCATACTGAGAGTCAGTAACTATATTAAGTGTTTGTTCTTGCTCTTGCAGTAATAGGATAATGGCTGATATTTTCGCCTGCTGGACAGAGGTTAGAGAGGTTTTTACTACTCTGGAAATATTTTCCCCAGAATACCCAATCATTCCAGCCGTATTAGCATCAGTATAAAATGTAGGTCCCTTAACGGGTTCCTTTTGAACTATAGTAGATAATATCCATTGTGTTTTCAGAGTTTGTTTGTTGTTTGCTTGCCTTTTCCTACAGTACCACTTATATGATTTCAAATATGGCTACATTCTGGTCTCCATCTATCAGATCAAAGTCCTTTGAATGCCCTTGGTATATCTAGGATTCGTTTAGGCAGCTTGTCTCCCAACTAAAGTCCCAGAACTGGATCAGTTCTTTTAGCTCTGGTCCTACCCAGGCTTCATGTTATCCCTTTTCCTGCTAACCATTGACTCTACATCATAGAAGAGGCAGTCCAAGCTTGAAGAGTACCTGTACGAAGCCCAGAATGAGAGACAGCTGTTAGTCCTGCTCCGGGAAATCCTCTACACTAGATGAGTGTAACTTAATTTTAGAAGTGTCAGAGACAAACTACAACATGTCTGGAGAATATGAACCAGGTTTTTGACAGTGTTGGAAAACATGACATGTGAGAAGCAGTTGAATGAAACTGGAAAAGTCAAAAAA